GCACGCAATTTTAAGGCTTGACATGTTTGGTGTCTATTCACTCTGTAAGGCAAGCCTTCAGCTGTCAGAGTCTTGCAGTGCCTCATGGGACTTGTAGTTCCATCACAGCATCAGAGCTGGAGCGCCAAGGTCGCCTACCCCTGAGGTATTCTTTGCCATGTGAATTGGTGTACCTGCTCTATTATTACAGGGGTATCCAAACCTGGGCACTCCAGCTGCTGTGGAACTACAAGTCCCATGAGGCATTGCAAGATTACAGCTGCAGGCATGACTCCCAGAGGCAGGCTGGGATTTGTAGTTTTACCACAGTTGTAGGGTCAAGGTTTGGCTACCCCTGCTCCTTTTAGTAAACAAACCCCAGTGAGTGTCATTGTATTTAGTAACGGCAGGAGAGGTGAAAGCTTTGTCCCCAATTGCTCTAAATGATCCCATCATCCAGTATATCTTCTGCCCTGCTCCCTATAATCCAATGATATCAGTGTACGGTATCCTGATCAGCCCCTTTGCCCCATACCTGTACGTCTCCAGCACACAGCTCTGCTCCTTCCGCTTCCCAGGCTCATCGTTCTTGTCTCCTAGCAACAGGCTCAATCAATTGAGACTAGGCCAACACAGGCTCATCGTCCTTGTCTCCTAGCAACAGGCTCAATCAATTGAGACTAGGCCCACACAGGATCATCGTCCTTGTCTCCTAGCAACAGGCTCAAACAATTGAGACTAGGCCCACACAGGCTCATCATCCTTGTCTCCTAGCAACATTATCAATCAATTGAGACTAGGCCCACACAGGCTCATCATCCTTGTCTCCTAGCAACAGGATCAATCAATTGAGACTAGGCCCACACAGGCTCATCGTCCTTGTCTCCTAGCAACGGGCTCAAACAATTTAGACTAGGTTCACACAGGCATTCTCCTCTCCGAGCCACCCGCTCCTGTGCCCCGGCCTCCCCCGCGAACACCGTTGGCCCTACCCGCCGCCTGCTTTGCTGCTGTGCCAGACCGGCGCTGCTGGGCCCCGGTAAACATTGTCCTACTCCACTTCACTGCCAGGCCCCGGCATCCTGACCGGGCCTCCCTTTACCCTGGGCCCCATAGCGACCGCTAAGCCGATTAATTTGAAATGGCCCACAACCCACTGAATATGCGGTATAGCACACTAGCGTGTTTCCCTGAAAGTAAGACCTAGCCGATTTCTGTAATATAAGAACTACCACTGAACTAGGTCTTACTTTCGGGGAAACACGGTAGTGTGCTATACAGCATCGGTTCTCAACTCATGGGTCGCGACCCAAAAGTGGGTTGCGACACCTTCTGCAGTGGGTCGCGGCGTCCTTCCTGCAAAGAGTGGCCCATGTTCAGGAGGGAGACATAGAGGGGGGATTTGTGCGTGCCAGCCTGTGGGAACTATATATTGAAAACTGTTCCCTCTCATACACCCCCCTGCGCGTGAACTGACCCGGGGAAATCGGGGACTATTTCCTTACTTTCGGGCGGCGGAATAATATCGAGAGGCCGCGGCTGCCGACAATTAAGTTAAAGTTCCGGCCCTTCCCGGACTGGAGAGTACAGCTTTGCACTGGCGGAACTACCAGGGTCGCAATTGCGACCGGGCCCTGGTGTTCCGCCACTTGGGTGGGCCCAGCAAGGAAGTAGAGGCCCCCCCTGCGATCGTGCCGCTCCTTACCTGTCGCACAGCCAGCTGCAGCATGTACGGGCGGCTGTGCGAAAGGGCTGGAGAGGCTGTCACTGATCCCGGAGAATGAGCTGGTCCCGCCTTAGGGGCGGACCTCAGAGGGCCGTCTCTTAGCTCCGCCCCCTGGTCGCCAAGACGAGGAAGAGGGCCATGGGCCTGCAGGTCCAACTACGATATGTTGGACTATAAGTCCCAGCAATGCATTATAGGGTGGGGTGGGGTTTGGATGCTGGTGGTATTCTGCATACCTTACTTTTAATATAATGTATTGCTGGGACTTGTAGTCCCGCATAGCTGGTGGTATTGTGCTTTGCTGTATGAAGATTATACAGCAATGCAGAATAGCTCCAACTATGCGGGACTACAAGTCCCAGCAATGCATTATATTTTTTAGTAGGGATACACCAGTGTTAATACTGGGCATTTTCACAAGTACTCATACTCGTGAAAATGCCCCGATACTAAACGCAGATACCGGTGTTCTGTCGAGAATGCTGATGTAGTCGAATTTGCCGACCTCAGCATCTGCGCTTACACACAGGCCAATATTATCGAGGAAACCGGGATTTATTCACAAAGTATTTCGTTTAAATGGTTAATTGTGACCGATAATAATATTCTGTCCATCATTTCCTGCCATGGACGGCATATCATTAACGGTCACAATTAACAATTACAAAAAAATACTTTGTAAATAAATGGCGGTTTTCTCGTTAATCCCGTCTGTACGTAAGCGCAGATACTGAGTCGGCGTTCTCCACAGAACACCGGCACAAACATTTTAAACAAGAGGCTGCCTGAGGTCCCGCGCTTGCTGGGGACCTCGGCAGCCTTCCTGTTAACCATGCGGTGCCATTGCGGTTGGGGGGGGCGGGGGCCCTTCATGGTTTCTTGCACTGGGGCCCTGAAGGTTCTAGTTACGCCTCTGAGCAAATGACAACGTGTTTTACAATCTGATCGGTTGCATTTGGTACAGTTTTTTTTTGCCATAAATCTGGTGGTCCAAATACTTTCATGCATGATATATTTGATGATATGTATTGAATTACAGGGTGCATTCATTACACTGGTTTTGCTGGGTCCCATCTGAGCAGAGCAGACAGGCAGGCGGAGGGTTTACTTCTTTGACTGATTCAGTCATGAGTTCTTAAATTTGTGCGTGTTATTAAAGGAGAACTATGGGGTCAGTATTTTTCCTCATAGTTCTCCTTAGGGTCACGGGAGGACACAAACTAGCGTCCTCCCGTCACCTCCCAGCCTGATGCCCCAGAACCCTTGCACCCAGCCTGATGCCCCAGAACCCCCACACCCAGCCTGATGCCCCAGAACCCTCGCACACAGCCTTACACCCCAGAACCTTTGTACACAGCCTGATGCCCCAATACCCCAGAACCACTTCACACTGTCTGGCACCCCAATACTGCAGAATCCCCCCCCCTCACACATCCTGACACCCCAATACCTCAGAGAGACAGCAAAAAAAGAGCACATATCTCCGCATTCTACAACACCTCCAATCTCAGCCCCTGACACAGGGACCCCAGTGACACCCCCCAATAGTGACAATTACCCCCCCCCAGGTAACAATTCCACCTTGGATTAACCCTCCACGATCTGCCCCAGGGGAAGAAGGCAGGCAATCCACCAGATCTCAATGCTGCAGTCAGCGGTCTCCCATGGAGGGGCCAGGGGAAAGCAGCGCGCGCACACTTGACCACCGCCAACATCGGAGGCTGAATGAGGAGAAAGTCGGGGAGGAGCGAACCATTCAATGGGGAGGAGGGTGGCTGTATTATGAGATGGGGCAGCTGGAATAATGACACAATACTAGAGACCCGACCGGTGGCATCCCTCCACGCCGCGACCCACTAGTTGAGAACCAAGGCTTTAGAGAGTTGAAAAATCTGCAACAGGGAAACAAACAAATGCATAGGTATGAGGTATGTGGTTGACTAAATTACTAGGAGCTGTATTTATATCATCAAGTGGTAACAAATCTCATACAAAACAGCACTAAGGCCCCATTCACACAGCGCGATTCGCAAATCGCGCATTTGTCGCACGACTTGCAGTTTGCGCAATATCGCGCAACTGCTTGCATTGAGCAAGCTCGAATCGCGGCAAAATCCGCTCCAAAAAGGGTCCTGCTGTAGCGACACACGACCCGCGACAGCAGGACCCTTTGCCCCATTGCCAAGCATTGGAGCGCGATATCGCGCGGTAATAAGCCGCGATATCGCTGGAATTACAAAATTGTGTGTATCTTCCTGCACTCCTTACCGGATCTCCTAGGAGATGATGTCTGTAATAGGGTGCTTGTAGTGACCACGGAGGCACCGTGTAGTCAAGTAGTAATTCCAAAAGATGTCACCAGCACTCCAGAAGTAGATTCAATATATTTTAATGACAACGGTCATTCAAAATCACAAGTACTTTCGGGGCCACGTTGGGTCCCCGTCATCAGGCTTCAAAATCACAAGTACTTTCGGGGCCACGTTGGGTCCCCGTCATCAGGCTTCAAAATCACAAGTACTTTCGTGGCCCCGAAAGTACTTGTGATTTTGAATGACCGTTGTCATTAAAATATATTGAATCTACTTCTGGAGTGCTGGTGACATCTTTTGGAATCGCTGGAATTACCGCGCGATAAATCGCTCAATGCGAACGGGGCCTTAGTATTAAAGAACAACTCCAGGTAAACATTTTATTAGCCCTTGTATGCTTTGTGTTGCACATTTTCTTTTTTTAGGAGCCATGTATGTTTTGTCATTCTTTGTAGTCTGTTGGCAATCCATTCTAAATTGAGGGAATGCCTTAAAAGAGAACCTTTTTATCCCATAGTTCTCTTAAGGGTGACAGTAGGACGTATAATAACCTCCTCCCATGACCCAAAGCTCAATATATCGCGAGCTACAGCTCACTATATACTGAGAGCGCCGCAGCTGGGACAGATCCCGACATTACTGTCGAGATCCACCCAGCTGCATGAGTGACAGCGGGCTCTGCCTATCTAGAGGCAGAACCAACTGTACCCTCCCCCGTCCGTTCCTCCAGTCAGCGCTGGCGGATCGGAGAGGGGGAGACCCTGCGGGGGAGAGGTGACTGACAGTCACGGCTCCCTGCAGGGAGATGATCGAGAAGTGTGCGAGCGACGGTATGTGTTCGCTCACTTCACGATCTATAGAGCTGATGGGTGACAGTTTCATTGTCACAGGTCGGCTCCAACTTTGAGGATGAGCGATTTTCACTCACCTCATAGTTCTCCTTTAATGCAATGCACATTAGAGCATACCATAATCCATGCTAACGTGTGTGGTTATGTGCTCTGCAATGGGACACTTTAATGCGAATGGGCCTTCAAAGTATTTTTTGCATGTTTTCCCATAAGAGTTGTTTTGGGTGTAGACCTCCAAAAAGCGTGAGACAGCTCCTGGGTGTCAAAATGTCCTGTCCCTCCCGCTATTCGGCTCCATGCAGTGGCTCTCATGTGCTTCGAGTCTTGTGCGCATAGCTGTTCGCAGTTTGAATGGTTAAATCTGAACTCTGGACAAACGTTTTCCTAACCCTTGTAGTGGGGCTACCCTGGCACTGCAAGTGTTAAGTGCTCGTTTGTGTCTTGGTGCAAAAATAAAAAAACCTATACTCACCCGAACCTCGGATCCAGCTTGTTAGACCTGTCCCGTGGGCCTGTCTCCCCCTCTTCTGCGACTTTTTTTTTTTTTTTGCAGTTTATTGGCACCATTTCTCCTCCTTTGCATGTATTTACATGATATTTTCACATATGATAAGTCCCTGTGGGATAGTTTGGAGGTGACAGGTTCTCTTTATGGAACCTGCCCTCCAACACAGAGGAGATGTTCTGTGCAGTTCCTGACAGCTGAG